TTTCTGACCTCCAGGCGGCAGGCCAACCCGTTTATATTCGCAGCATTCGGCGGCAGCCTCGAGTATGCCGTTCTTAAAGAGCTGCCACTCGGTTTCATAATTAGTTGTCATCATTGCGATCTGTTAAAACCATCGTGCGATGTTGTTTGCGAATTTCGCTCTCATGTCCACCGAGAATGATGTTGCACATTTGATTCTTCGGTTGCTTCTGCCACCAGATCTTCGTATGGTACTCCATTTCTTAGAACGCAGCGTGCCAACAACGAGGTGATGGTCGGTTGATATCTATACGCCTTTTTTAACACGAACATCCATTACTGAGCGTCTTAGGTCAGACGATACGATTATCAAATCGATCGTCGACTTCTGTGCATAAGCTTTCCGGTACCATTTGTACTAATGCACTTTTCGATGCTCGAAGAAGGCGTTCATAATGGATAATCCGTTGTTTGCAGAAAACCGCAACAACTTCATGTCGTTATTGATGAGGTCGCTAGGTCGTTTTTTCGAATCATGCCGTTCCACTTGTGAGCTTCTACTCCGACATGTGCATTTTAATCGCCCATGAATATGAGGGACTGTATTCTGCACTTCGGACAGAGCATACTGCAGTTCGTCAAGGAAGGCATAATATTCTCCTTCCAGATTGGGCGTATAGACCTGTATGAAGATCAGAGCTTTAGCCTGTTGTAGCTTCAGTCAGAGGATTACCATCCTTCCGCTGACAGGCTCCCAATCAGTGATTCTATCTGCGAAGCTGGGTTCTACCAGAATACCAGCACCGGCCTGAGCGTGAGGCGTGTTTTCGACGCGTGAGTAGAATAGCTTCCATCCGCTGAGGTTCAGGAGTCCTGAGTCTTGGCGTTTCGTGACGAGAGTCCAACAATGTGGAGTTGGTACTTTATGGCCTCATCAGCTAACTCTTGTTCTTTCCCTCTGTGTGAAGATGTATTCCAATTTTGGACTGTAAGCTCCCACTGACGCTGTGGTTCTCGTGAAGTCTTTTCTGACGTGCTAATGGTATGGCGCTGTCTGTCTCCTCCGTTCAGATTAAGTAGCGACTCCGTGGCTGACTGGTATTTTCGTCTTCGTTCCGTGGGTCTTCGTCAGCCGTTATTGTGATGCTGCGTCCCCGGCTGGCAGAGAGTAATGAGCATGTTCTGATCACCGACTTTTTGCAGTCTGCCTCAGTCCTTCAACAGCCTGTGCGGCCCTTGGTAACCCGGACGGCCACCGATCCGGCATAATTTTCGATCGCGTTAATACCATGAGTAACAGGTGGCTAAATTTTACGGAGACTTTGCCACGGTCTCCAACCCTCCTCCTTTCTCAACCGGGCTTAGGGCCAGTAATTTCGGAGTTAAGTATCTCATTTCGAAACCAATATTTCTCATTCTCTGTAATTGTAGTACAAAAATTTGCGGCATTTAAAAAAATTCTTTTTTTAAAAAGAGACGTATTTTAACATGTCAGTCTGTTTTTTAGGGTTCCCATTATGTTATTTTTCAAGGTTATGGTGATGCCTGTCTAAAAACTGTTTCATGTGTAGAAGTTCTAAAACGAAAGTTCAGTGCGCATGACAGTGGTTGCCAAACTTTGTATCAACTGTCTAAGATTAAATATCAAAGGTATAAAGTGTGTCATTTTAGTGGCTACTTTATTTACAATGCTTGTTGCTATTTAGGATAGAAGAATATTGGGAACCGACTCCACGTGTACTGGAAAGGTAGTTTTCTCTTGAATGTAATCAGGTGATATCCTCTGTTGTAGGCTGAAGGTTAACAGAGACATTCCTGCTATATCTATTTTATTGTCGACCCAGCCCCTGCCAAGTATGTATTTTTTAATTACTTGACAGGCCGTTTTTTATTTGAGATTTTCTTGGAGCTATATATTTGTCGAAAGACGCTTTTTTACCCTTTCTTAATGTTGTTCTTTTACCTTCATTACATCTACGTAGAATGGCCATTTAGGTCCAGTTAAGTTTAGGGTTCGGCGGTGATGCAAGCCTATTACTGGTTTGACTGAATAGCAAATAACTTATGAAGTATGAGATTGCGTGAACACGAGGTTGTGAACGTGACTGTTATCACAGTGACACTTCGCGGGAGATCGAGGCACGCAGCTGAAGATCAAATTGCTAGAACATATCTAAAATGTAATATTGTTGCTCGTTAGAAAAGTCCTCCATGATAGCTGCTATGTTGACTCGTAGGAATAGCGATCCTTGTAGTTGAATGGGTTGGTACTGCAGTTTCCTGACACACTACAGAAATTAGTAAATGAAAGGCATGTTTGATAGGTATCATTGGTAACTATGTTGTGCTACAGGAGTAAAATACTGCATCTCATAAGAATGAAAGTTCTTCAAGGAATATCTAGCTAATGCGTATCTAGCTTTAACCCTGCATCGCTTTAAAAATTGTTACCAAAATTGGTAATTGTCCGTCAAGAGAGGAATTGCAGATTTTAGTAATTCAACAGGAACAGTAAATAATTATTGAAGTTTTTCTTATTGAAGTGTTTATTGAAATTAGTAACTCCGCCGTTACCTATTCCAAGCCCAGTTCAGAAAGAAGGAGCGTTGAAGACCCTGGCAACTCTCCGTAAAATTCAGCCACCTGTCACTCATGGTATTGACGCCATCGAAAATTATACCGGCTCGGTCGTCGCCTGGGTTACCAAGGGCCGCGCAGGCTGTTGGCGGACTGAAGCAGACTGCAAGAAGTCCGCGATCAGAACCTGCTCATTGCTCTCTGCCAGCCGGGGGCGCAGCAGCAGAACAACGGCTGACGAAGACCGACGGAACGACGACGAAGATACCAGTCAGCAGCGGCGTTTGTACCCGTTCTGAACGGAA